CTAGATCGGCGCGGCGCCGGGCGGTAGGGCTACTCGATCGGTGCGTCGGTGACACGATGGACGCGGCGTCGGCGCGATGGGCGCGGGCGATCGGCGGCGGCGGCGGCCCCCAGGTTTCGAACGGCGTTTTTCTTTTTTTTATACGGACGGCGTTTGTTTCCTTTTATACGGATGGGAAGGTTGAAGCCTCCGTGATGAGTCTCAAGTTTTCAATTTATAGTAGAGATATGCACTGTGAATATGACGTAGGAGTACGAGAGTTATGTAATTTATGGGACATTGAGTACCAATATTGTTGCCTGATTATTGCACAGTTTTTACATTCCATTCAATGGTTTGGGTCATCTGCTGAAGGACGTTCAATTCGATTCGACCACGCTGCTTAAGGTTTCAGCGGCAATTGATACCCCAATAGTTTGGAGCCGTGTTTGGGGCTCCCGTACCACCAATGGCAAGAAAAGCAGCATCAAATCTGTCTTAGTGGGGCTCCAGTGTACCACCAATGACAAGAAAAGCAGAGGCTAGTGGGCCATCATCGCAGCCGCCCGTCGAGCCTCCACTGGGGAAGCGTGGGATAGAGATGGTCAACTAATGGACTACGCGGTTGGTGACCAGCCGGCTGGGGCATGCCAAATAAACTTTCAATCTTAAACAGTGAGACTAAACACGGGTTAGTTTGCCATGCATGAACTAGATTCATGCAAGTTATTTTGATGATTGAGATCATATATGTAATGTAACATAAATTTATGGCAATTTTAAATGCTGGGCCTGGTGGCCTTGTGTCAGTTTGTTTTGAATAGATCGTTTTTTTCCTGTTGCCAGAGGGACTGTTGGGGATAGTAAGCGCCACGGCTTGGGCATTACAGGTTAACGCTACCTTCGATTCTTTTCCCTCCTATAAGCAGGTTCCCGGTGACAGTCACGATAGGATGAAGGTCGTTGGCCCGGAAGCAACTTGCTTAGGCAGGACCGAAAGGGTAGCCAAAAGCGTCTAGGCGAAGAACCTCACCCGGTCAGGTTACCTTTGCTGAGGCCAATCAACCCACCTTGTGAGTGCAGCCACGCCGAGCACGGCACTCGACATGGCTAGTGGTGCTTGCCAGAAGCGCCAATGACCAATTTGCCCCTATATATGCCGAGAACATGCCTAAGGAGTATGAGAGTTATGTAATTTAGCAGGTAGTGTTCCAATCTTCTATAAATATGACGTCTCGTAAAAATGATGGGACATTGAATACCATTATTATTCTTCCATTGTTGCATAGTTTGTATATTTGGTTCATTGGTTCGGGTCCTTCGCCAATGGATCTTTGTCGACTCATTCGAATGTTTTATCTGCACGTATCTATATCTATATAACCTATAGTTTTGTCTAAGGCCACTCTCATCAAGAAGAGAATTGGGGATAATCCAAGGAGGTGGCCTAAAGTTTTGTCTAGAGCAACAAGTTTGGCAAGAGGTCAACCAAGATGAGAAGGTCATTATAGAGTGACCAAAGGAATATTTGACAATTCATATCTACTGGAGACGTTGCAAGGTGATAGTCTCCCAAGAGAAATTAACGAGAAGTGCTTGAAAAGGTAGTTTACAAGTATTTGGCAAGAAGCCTAGAGTACTCTCCGAACAATGACCGATACATGTATCGCCCTTAGAACAAATATAGCCAATGTATACATCGCCCCTAGATGCTAGATAGCCGATGAGTTGGGTATCAATGCTATTTAATGCTATAATTTTGCATATATGAGAAGTCGATGGAAAAGCTGACCATATTACAATGGATAAGTTCAAGACAGCAAACACAAAGCATTGTTGAATTTTCTGCACAAGACTACAGAAATGGAACAATTTGGCTTTCAAGGTGCTTTTAGTACGCAAGCTTTATTTAAAAACAGGGGCCATATGTTGAGACCCAAAATTGTCCAGAGTGCATAATAGACTTCACCATCATATTTCTATCATCAAGATATTCAAAAAGCATATTTGAATCATCTCATTTGGAACCTGGGCGAAGAAAATAAATTTTCAAGTGCTAAACCAGCCAGAGTTGGCTTAACCGACTCCCTAAGTCGGCTAAGACAACTTGACCAACTTCCTCAAATGTAAGAATGGACTCCACCATTGCGCTCCTCTAGTCGAGCTGACCGAAAAACATATATGGATCACCTCATTTGTAGTCCGGATGAGTTAATTATGAATTTTGGAAGCTTTTCACCTTGAATTTCCATAGCCAAGTGGGCTTAGCTGACTCCCCTAGTTGGCGAAGCCGACTATTCTGTTGTTTTCAAGGCGGTTTGGCTTCCAAGTCATTTGGAACCTATTTTGAATGTGGGAAACTTGGAGATTATGTTTGGGACTTCTTTTCTACTCGAACAAGACCATCCCCCTCTGTATAAATGAGAGGATCATGGCCGATTGAGGACCCCAACTCACAATCGTTCAAAATCAATCTACAAACTCCTTACCCTCTTTTTCGAGCCAATGTTGTTCATCCCTTGATCCGACGACCAAGGATGGCGCCCTAGACTTGCCGGCCGACCTAAGACAACCTAACGACGTCCTTTCCCCAATGGGGTCCCTCCCGGGCGAGAGCTTCGACGGTTTCTTTGCTAGTTTACCTAAAAACTAGCCAATTCTTCATCACGCAAGCACGTTGGTTATCCTTTGGTGGTTTGCTTGTAAACCTCTCCATTCTTCACCATGAAAGTGTGACATCATCGCTGCATTCTTCGGTCCATAGTTGCCCGGGTGTGCTAGCCCTTGCTAGTGTGTGATCCGGATCCTATTTGGCATCAACAGCATGGCACCCATGTTATGATGTGGTACTTAAACCATATGGTTTTGAATGGCTAGTTTGAGGTGTATATATACCATACCAACCGGCCATTTGAGGTGTGGAGGAGTTGGGTAACATATCAAGGGTGTTTTGCACCATTTTAGAACTCTCCACTTGCATAGTGCTTAGTGATACACATTGTGATTAGTGTAGGTGTTTTACGAAGTACATAGGCTAGTTAGACCACTGCTTATGCTCTTGCTTTAGGTTTGGGCCTAGTGTTTAGTGGGGTTTGTATGCCTCTTGCTATTAGGTGCTTACGTGCACCATTGTTGTGCACAGGAGGGGTTTGTAGTCTTGCGAGTTCACAACAACCGCATTTCTGGTGTGGCCACCATCGTGTACCAGAGGGAATGAGGTCAGCGGCAGTTTGGCCGAAAGCTCGATTGTGAAGATGACAGGGAGCTATCCGGGAGAGGCTATTCCGGAGACCCAATTGTGCATGGGGAAGGCACGAGGCTATCCACGGAGTTACCCGATTGGGAGCTTGGCCTTTTCAAGGGCATCCTTGCATGGGGATAAAAGGAGGACTAGGCGGAAGCTTGTATGCTTCTTGATACCTTGGTAAAAATACCGGAGTTATCAACGAGAGTTTTCCTCTCTATCTCAATTAAGCTTCTGCATTTACATTGTGTACCTTGGTTGTGTGCTTTACCTTCCTAGCTTAGTTGATAGAATTAGAACCTAGGTTGCATAACTCTTTTGTGGTAGAGATAGCAACTCACCTAGCAAAACCTTAGTTCCCCATCTAGATAGTTTATTTTTTGCATAGGTTTTGCCTAGGAGAATAGTTTTTAAGTTGCCTAATTCAAACCCCCCTTAGGCCTCACGGTCCCTACAACTAACATGTTAGGTAGTCTTTGGATAGGTCTCATAGTGAAAACCCTACTGGTCCATCTTAGAAGCGGACAAGGAGTTCACACCCCTTGGCAATGAGGATTAAGACACATGTATAAAGTTGTAGATACTCCACAGAGTTAATAAAAGTATTAATGTTGTGGTCTCAGTCATAAGTGGCCTAGGTCCTTTTTAATTAGATGGTATAACAATAGATGGTTTTGGTGATGCTTCATCCTGATGTTAATTGTTTCTATTTACATGGGAGCACCTCCTGCCACTAGGGTGGGGGGCATGGGCTGCGGTTCGTGCTTGTCAAAGGGACGCATCTGGGGGCACGTCCGAAGAAGGGATGTATGGAGAAAAGGGATGGAAAGAGTAAATGAAAACAGAGGAAGGATATATATATATAGCAGCGGATGGGGTCTATCATCCGTCATCCGTGTCTCGACGAGCATCCATTCACACAGGGTGACACTTGGCCGCTCGGGTCCGCCTATTCGCCACCATGAGAAAGCACATAACATTGGAGAGACATGCAAGGCAAGAAGTGGTGGGAATGTTGCCAGAGTGGTTTTCAGCATTAGCTCCTCCTGCATACTGAGGGCGAAAATATTTTTCACCACCTTTTTGGGATAAGAACCAACAGTTTAAACCACTGGTTTGGAAAAAGCATCTGTGTACCACTGGTTTTGTCCAGAACTGGTGGTGAAATGCCGTAGCACAAATATTGTTTTTATAGTAGTTATTCGCAAGTGTTGTTTGTAATTAGTTTTGATACAAATAGATAGATAGATAGACAGATGAATGGTTGAATATGTAGATCAATTGATTAGAGTGGATACAGCTAGCTAGCTAGATTGATCTTGTGGGTAGACAGACAGACTGACTGACAGATAGATAGATAGATAGATAGATAGATAGATAGATAGATAGATAGACAAACAGATAGAAAGACAGATAGATAGATAACAGTGGACCAGAGTCTCTTTTTAAATAGATTTAAATTAAAGCCAGATCCTATCAATTATCTCAAAACGAGATAGATATATCGATAGATAGAAATGTACATGTGATAAGTCAATTATTTTGAATAAAATGCAGCCAGCATTGGACAAAAACGCAGACAATGTGGAGTAGCATCTAATATTTGGATTTCCATATCCATCTAGCTAGGAAATTCAAATATAGCTTCCGCAACATTAGTATTTCCATACCCATCTAGTTTACAGAATTAGCTAATGCAGGCCACCATGCTTCTATAACTACCGAACACATATACCCTCTTTGAGCGCAGATACGTGGCACTCCTCTTCATTTGACCATGTCGTTCAGTAAGCAGAATACTGTGGTGGCCGCCATCGCCTTGGCCCTGCTCCTCCTCACTTCATCACATCGTAAGTGGCCAGGAAACTCCACAGTTTCAGAAATTAATTCCGTAATATTTGTACGATGCACTAGCTAATTAATGTTTGAATTATAAAATCTAAAAAGGGATTAAATTTCTGTGGTCGTTGCAGTTGCAGCTGGAGCCGATGATGAAACAATAGTACCGTTAAAGACATGTGAATTCATGATCAAGGTTCCCTGCTGGGGCAGAAACTCGATTTGCATTCCCATTTGCATTGCAAAAGGCTACACCGGCGGTTTCTGCGATGTTGCCACCTGCATGTGCACCAAGCAGTGCCCTGACGAGGCAGAGGCAGAGGCAGGTGGGCAATCATCACATCCGCCCGTCGACGTGCATCCTCCGCTGGGGAAGCGTGGTGGGATGCTCAACTGATGGTCTACGCCGTTGGTGTGGCCGGGCGGCTGGGCCGTGCATACCAAATAAACTTTCAGTGTTAGACAACGCGAGAAGACCTAGGTAGGTAGGTTTGCCATGTACCAGAATACCAGATTCATGCAAGTTATTTGGTGATTGGTCATCTCAATCTTTGAGATAGGTATAACGTAACAGAAACTTACCACTACTTTAAATGGTGGGCCCAGCCTTTTGTCCCTTTGTTTTGGACACATGATTTTTCTTCATGTTGCCAGAGAGGAATTGTTGGGGATAGCAGTAGTACACCTGAGAGACCCCGTTGCCCAGAGCCATGCGCGATGCCTTAATTAGGGCGTTACAGACTAATGCTACCTTCGATTCTTTCCCTGCTAGGCAAGTTACCGGCAACAGCTAAGGTCACCATACGATGAAGGTCTTTGGCCCGGAAGCAACTCGCTTAGGCGGGCCCGATCGAACGAGGGTAGCCAAAAGGGTCTAGGCGAAGAACCTCACCTGGTAGGATTTCCTTTGCTCGGGCCAAAGAACCTGCCATCAAGGGCAGCCTCGTCTAGCCTGTCACCTCGACGTGGCTTGGAGTGCTTGAACCCAGAAGCGCCAATGACCATTTGTCCTTACGTGAACCAGCATTATGCCTAAGGCCAGTGGGAGTTTCATCCCAGTTTCATCCGCATGTAATAAGCTGCCACTTAGGCATTTTCGATGATGTGGCACCGTATTTAAGAAGAGAGAAGAGATGAGTTTCATGGGGATGAAACTCTCCTAACATAGTTACCAACTCGCAAGGTGTCATGAAATTAAATGTGTATGAAACTATGCATAGGAGTGGTTGTTTCATTCAAGTTTTATCGCATTTCATTTGATATGGTATTCTTAGAAACAACGCTATCAAACTCCCCATTGAGACTAGTGTTGGTGTAAGCCAGCTGCACGGTGAAGGCAAAGCAGCTGCTGACGTTGCTGGTAAAGCAGGAGAAGCAACAGGTTTGAATTCAAAGTGCAGGCGGGAACGGTTGTGCAGGGCGACGTGGTGAGCGCGCCAACGTCGTGCGCAGACTGTGCAGTTGCATTGTATGCCACTTGTATCCATCGTTTAGCAGTTTTATTTGAAACAAGTGTGTGTAAAAATTGCCACTATAAGTAGCTCTCATGTAATAGACTGTGTTAGCGCTTTGGCTCACTTGTAATAGCTTCTGTACTGAAAATCTCTATAAGTGGAAAAGGCCACTGTCCTCTGACAGTTGCTGTTCGTCTCCTTGTGTTCTTGAGCGCGTTCTTGTGCTTAGGCTAGCCAATTTGATCTATGTGCTGTGATTTGTGTTCCTGATTTCCTACATTTGGTATCAGAGCCTCTAATCACACGCATCTACTTGCTTGATCCACACCATGGGTGGTCGGAGTGACGTAGGCGGTGACGGTGGTGACCGGATCACATATCCGTCACTCACTGCAACCAACTATACTAGTTGGAGCATTCGCGTCCAGGCGATCATGGAGGACCAAGGAGTATGGGTGATTATGGAGCCACCAGGGGAGACGTTGGAGCTAGGAGCGATGGCGGTTGCAGCGGCGGCGGCGAAAGATAGGAAGGCGAAGGCGCACTTGCTGCAGTGGCTCCGGTAAGTGTTAGATTCTTGAGGGAATGCTAGTTTCTAAGGAACAACACCGGTTCCTCTAGTGCGACCAGGGTGCTCCTTGGTTCCGAGTGCTTGGGTGAGCACGTCTTTCTCCCTATTAGAAGTGCGAGTCCCTTGCCTCACCTCCTCAGTTACCTGGGAGATCCTCTGGATGAGTTCGCTCATGGGTTGATTTGAGGAGCTAAAGCTCCCGTCCTCGGCGTTCCGTACATTCCTCCCCATACAGTATATTACCGATCTGGGCTCCCAATCGGCGGTCTCAACCTGAACGCCTTCCTCAGCAAGGCGATCCATCTTTTGAAATTCTGCTTCAAATTCTGGCATCTTTTTGGCGTAGCCACGAGAGCCGAGACGATGAGGATTCGTCGCTTTCTGCGAATTCTCCTTATTCTTCCTGCTCAGTTCTAAGTACTCCTCGGATAACCTGTATTCCTTGAAAGCCCGCCAGAAGTCCTTCTGCTTGCTAAACTGTCCACCATCGAAATCTAGCTCTTTATTTTGGAGGACAAAATTCTTGTACAATGTCCCCTTGAAATTCTTGAAGCATGTCCCCATGATTTCTTTTGCTTTTTTCTTGACTAACTCCTTGTCATACTCGACTGGGAAAGTGAAATACTCTGGGATCTTAACATCCCATATGTAATCCTCAGAGATTGACGGGGATGTCTATCAAGTACAGCAACCTCGGAGGCACGTTGGATGATGCGGCACTAGAGAAAAAGTTGTTTGACACTGTGTTGGAGAGGTTCATCAACGTGATCGCTAGGATCGAGCAGTTTTATGATCTGAAGAAACTGTCGTTCGAGGAAGCTATCGGCCGGCTGAAGGCATTCGAGGAGCGTACCAAGCGGGGAGCTAGGGGAGTGCACTCTGACAGCGGGCAGCTGTTGCTCACTCAGTCTGAGTGGGAAGCACGCTAGAAGAAGTCAATGGGAGAAGGTTCTGGAGGCGGAGGTTTCAGGACAGTGGAGGGTGCAGTTGGGGAAGAGGCCATGGCGGATGTCGTGGCGGGCGCGGCGGGCAATCTGATGCGTTGAAGGAGAGCACGGGAAAGCGTGACAAGTGCTTCAAGTGCCACAAGTATGGCCACTACGCAAACCGGTGACCGGGGGAGAAGAAGGAGGAGGAGGCGCACCATGCCAGAGCGGTGGAGAAGGAGCTGTCAGTGCTACTAGCAGAAACAGTTGAACTGGGACCACTTGGGTGCACGCTGCAGAAGAGTCTTTATTCTGACGTGTATCTAGAGGAGATGAAGTTGACACTAGAGCTTCACTTCACCGGTGAGGAGGAGCCCATGAACAATGTCTGGTAACTGGACAATGTCACCAGCATCCACATGACTGGGGATCGACTGAAGTTTAGGGACATCGATCAAGCTATCTTTGGAAAGGTACGATTTGGTGATGGTTCTTCAGTTTAAATAATGGGGAAGGGTTCAATCTTGTTTCAGGGGAGAACAGGTGATCAATGGTTACTGCATGATGTTTACTTTATTCCTAAGCTTAAGAGTAACTTGATCAGTTTGGGTCAATTAACTAAAATTCAACACCGCATTGTTATGGATGATGATGAGGTTGTGGTGTCAGAGAAGGATCGAAGCAGGTTGATCATGAGAGTTCAGAGAACTGTTAATCATTTGTACAAGATTGAGTTAGTACTAGTGATGCCAGTTTGCTTGCTAACCAGTATTGTAGATGAGGCATGGTTATGGCTTGGTCGGTTAGGCCATGTGAATTTTTAGGCTATGAAGAAATTGGTTGACAAGGAGATGGTAGGAGATGTACCACTGATACAGCATCCAAATCAGGATTATTAAGCATGCTTCACTACTACAGATTGCCTTATCACTATCTCCACTTTCACTTCCGTAGAAATAGAAGCGACTGTGTTATGCTTCCACCGCTGGTTGGACCGATAGCGAGGCCTCCTGAGGAAGGAAACTGGCAGTTAAAACTTCTACCACCCATGGGTTAACAATAGATGCGGCAGTGGTATTTTCTCCATCGCATGAAAAGCCGAGCCGACTGGATAGGCGTTCTGGCCGCCGGCCCTACACGACCGTTCGGTCTACCGGTGGTAGTAAATTGAGCGAGTTTTTTCCCAACTACCCACAACATTGTTGCATCACCATTCCACTTCTCCATCTTCAAGGTTTGTTCCTCTCTCCTAGTTTATGTGAACTATTGCACTCCTCGCGCAGCGCCACCATCACATCTCTCACGGCCGGCGCATTGTTCCTCTCGCAATTTGTGTGAACCATTGCATGCCTCGCGCCGCGCCACCGCCAGATCCAAAGGCAAGGGTAATGCTTTCGCACTGCACTAATGGATCTTTATCGGATTATTTTCCTCTTTAGTGATCTCATTACTAAGGAAGCTCTCATCCTACTATACAATGACGAACGCAGGCTCTTTCACATGGAGGCGACCCCCAACAATAGGAATGCACTGGCCTGCCTCACAAAGGATCTTGTTCTAGAGATCCTTTGTCGCCTCCCATGCCCCTTCTTGGGTTATGTTAGTGGAAGTTTTGCGACGTTGTAGTCGAGTATAGGTTGTTTTATGTACTCGATAGGTCTTTGTTATTGTACACCCAGTAGTCTTCGATACACATCTTTGTTATTGTACAACTTTCGAATGTACGTAACCTACTAGACTTATGAATAAATATTTACTACTTTTTTAACAAAATGTTTGCTCATGTCGTTGTGGTACTCACAATCCTATTTTTATTCTACTTCGGTGGAGGGCGACCGGGTGGACAAGACCCTTCAGATCGACGAGCCATGTGGTGCAGTCAATTTTCTCCGTCCAACTTCCAACACCGTTTCTAGGAGAAGCGTGCTCCACTAAGATCATGGGAGATGTGGCCTCACCTTAGCTCCTGCTCTCACTCTATGCAATCATAGGGAAATCCAACGGACACCTAGCTCACCTATATATCCTTTGATAAAAGGGTTGCGTATCCTGACCCAAAAGGTGCATCATGATCATTGGTGGGCCGGTGGTACACGAGTCCAAACGTTGGCAAAATCTCATGGACAGGGAGATCAACAAGGCCACCCTAGGCGACGCCGTCCTGGCTTTCCTGAAATGGTCGGAGACTGTGATCACTTTTAACAGAAAGTATCACTCCGACCACATTCTGTAGCCGGTGCTTCGTTCGATGGAGTCATACCCAGACTTTAGTCCATTCCCCTTAGGCAGGTCGACCTAAAGAAAACAGGTAGACAGAGGGCGCAATGCCGCCAGATCTATCCTACAACACTTCAATCACGAAAATGGAGTTGCACTAGGCTAAGCCTCGTGGGTCAATCCCCATAAAAGGTCGCGCGACTACGGCATTTGAATGATTAGATCATCAGCGGGCATGGCAAGACGGTGGTGCACAAAACAAAAGAAATCAAGAAACACAAGCTAAGAAGATTTCTTTATAAAAATGCCCTAGCTAGGTACAACCTAAGCCCCTTGGCCGCCACCGTGGAAGATGTCCTCCGCATTCATGGTGGCCACGACGGCGGCCGCCGCGGCGGCGAAGTCACCGACCAGCTCGGCCCAGTCCGCCTACCCGTCGTGGCCTGGGAACCCAGGCTCCACCGGTGCGGAGCTGCATGGCGGTGAGGGCGATGCCGGCTCCCTGCCAGATTCCCACCACCACAACCCTCTCGTGATCCTCCATCAAGAGAGAACTCCCAGAGGTGGGCTTTCTCCGTCTCATGGCGAGAGGCTGCTAGTAGCTCCTCCAGCTCTGGCAACAAGATGACAAGAAGATTAGATGCTATGGATGTTAAATACGACGACGACAAGATGGAGTGAACCCTCACCCACAATACGGGCCTGGGTAGTCTCTAGCTCGAGGCGGCGAGCGCCACCCCGACAACGTCGAGTTAGCGCTCCAGCCGACCCACCACACGGGTGGCGTCGGAGTAGCACTGGCGGGGCTTGTCCGCTGCGTGAATGAGCTCGTGGAACTCCCGCTAGTCATCCGAGGAAGATGATGATGAGGACGAACTCAGCCCCGCCATCCATGGGGTCATGGCACAGCGGGCATTGGTGGCCCCTCTAGATGCAAGTCAATCGTAATCTCAAAACATTGCTTGAAAACTTCCCCTTTTCCACGTTAGTGGGCTCGGAGACGTGGTGGTGGCCCTCCGGCATCTGGTGACTCCTCTCGAGGATGCTTGTCGTGATCCATCTCGGTGGGCAGAGAAGATGCCACAAGCATGCAAGAACAAGAATGAGGAATTGGTGGAGCAGGCGACCTGAAGCAAATGCCTCCCTCGTCGTACAACTCTAGCGTATTTATAACCACGATAGACACCTAGGCACGTGAAGCGATCGGAGGGAAGGCAGAGCGACGGTTGCCCACGCACCGGCATGAAACCTTACACATTAAGCTCATGTTCCGCGGTGCATGACTGCTCATGGGTGGGCGCCATTAAGCCACTATGTGAAAGGCGAGGCCAACCGGCCGGCAAATCCGTGTGCAGAACGACCCATAGCGAAGGACTGTCTCCGCACCTTGCCAGCATGGGACGTGGAGGTGACCAATGTACTATGGCATTCACCAAGGTGCCACAGGGGCCCTGGCCACTGCTCGGCTTTGGCGTGGTGGCCTGCGTGGGCTAGAGCCAGTGTTCCCGCCACGGTCGTCCTTTCGCGATCGAGAGGACCTCGTCATCTACTTTCAGCCCGCGATCGCGGCCGTCTTGGCCATGATGGATGTACCGGACATCATTCTTAACCCTCCCCGCAAGTAGTTGGATTGCAATCTGCCTCTGCATCTTGTACAAAAATTGTTCATACTACTACTATTTACTATGAGTTTAAACTTTGAACATATCTGTGTTTACTGTTGCCTGGAACATTCCATTTGTGAGCCTTTGACACGTATGACACCGTATGACATGGTCATCATTATTATGTGGTGGTAACATCTTTGTAGCACCCATTCACCATCGCCGGTAGCCTTCACCGCCGCCTGTAGATGTTTTGGATGGTAACACTTTCGTGTCAATTTCCAAGCCCTCGTGTCAGTCGTGTGTGTATCGTTTCATTTTTTAACAGTTGCTATTTTCATGCAAATCACATTCCTATTTTTATTCTATGCATTAATTAAGGAAAATCAACAGGAAATCAAAAGCTACAAAATACACTATATTTTAGGACAAATTTCAAATGCCAGAATACACTAAAGAGTGAATTATATTACTTGTCTCTTAATTAAAATTCGCATTCGAAAAAATTGATTTCTTGGGAAGTCTACAATATTGCTGCAGACGACACCTGCGCATGAAAGATTGCCATGCACCTGTGCCAGCAGCGGCAATGACAACATGCCCCAAGTCGATTGGTAGATTAGCTTGACGGTCGGGTGGTGGCACAGCACACACCCGTTGTTGCTTAGCCACCTACTAGTTGGTCCGCTGTCGCTGCCTACCGCCACCGCCCATGATCCTTCCTCACCCTCGACCCGTCTCATGTACTGCCTTGTAGTGTCGTCATTGCCGGCAGCACCATTGTGACTATAGAGCAATATTGCGACCAGATTGTGCCCGCCCTTGGCGGCATGGGAGAGATCGTCAAGGCATCGTCGGGTGCTGTGGTTTTCTATGAATAAGGTTCATCTCTCGGTGAATAAGCAAGCCTTCAGGGTGCCGAGTTGGGTTAGGCCAGCAAGGAGGGTTTCTTAGTCGATGGGGTCATCCCACGTCGTCTCGCATCTGAACCGAACAAGTGACAAACACTGACCGACGGCGGAGTTTCCACAGATGCTGTGCATGGATGGGCAGATCACCCGTAGGCTACTGAGGTCGTGCTTGGGCTGCTCGAGTTTGAAGCAAGCTGACTGGTGATCTTAATGGCTTGGTCAGTAGGGAGTGCCGTCAGCGACATGCGGTGCCACTTCGCCGCCATGATTG